AAATGCCGTCTATACAACCAGAAGCACCACCTCTCAATCCAGAGCCGTTTCAACTAGTAAATTCTGCCTTTCTGAACTCCTGCAAAAATAAAAAGTTATGCATTGCAGTGTGCCTGGAAGGTCCACAGAAATCCATGGGGGAGGACCCAGGAGGGCAATGTATTTAGGAGGCAAGGAAATTTACAGATTTCAGCCTTTTTTGGCTCCAGTTCTGTGTTTCGTCATCCCTGAGCTCAGTGCAGGAACAGTGGGGACAAAGCACTTTTAAGCTGCTGCTGCTGCACCTAGCATCCTCCTTGCTCTGGGTTCAGCACTGCTTCTCATAGCCCCCACGAGCCAGGGGAAATAGCTGGTCATCAGCCCTTTGCAGCCCTCTCAGCTCCTGCCCTGAACTCAACCAGTGCCTACCCCAGTAGCAAGGAGAGGAGCCAGTAAATGTGGCCACTCCAGCCACTTTACCTCCACAGGATCACACCTGTCTCTGTTTCACCACTAGAGAGCAAAGCAAGAGGGCTGTAGGTAAAGGAGAGAATCAACCTCCCTGTTTAACATTGCAGTTCATTGTGGCAGCCCCAAGAAAGCAAGCTTCAGTCTAGAGACTGACTTATGTGCATGCTAGAACCTTCTTCCCAAGGATATGAATGTATTGGCATTTAGTGCTATAAAAAAAATCTTTCCAGCTTTAGAAACTTCTGTTAGTGCAGCAGTCTATGACACCGGATACAAACTGCTGTGCAAAGTAATTGCCAAATGCTTACATAAACACATAAATAAGACAAATAAATTTATTTTCATTATTCATATTTTCGGCTCTTTCCTTCCTCTTTATTTATGCTTTAAACAACAGTTACAGTAAATATAACAATACAAAAAATGCCTGCAATGGACAGAAGGATGATCAAAAAGCCCTGATATACAGCAATTCATGTTTCTTCTTTACAATCACTAACGAATCTTAACTTGAGCCATGTTATGTTCCCATGTGAGTGATAAGCAATGATTTATTATGAAGTGTCACGAAATCGGAATGCCATACAGTGAGACATGAGCTAGTGGAAAATGTGTTCCCTGTTTCCCAGCCTCATTACTCAAAGATGCAGTGTCCCTTTCTCTAAGTCTAATTTACCTAGCTTTTCAAGGCACTTTGTTAGCAAAGGAAACACACTGGGAATGAAATATCTGACCCTGACTAGCCTATATGCCCACCAGTACCACCAAATACATTATAATAATTGGGTCACTGGGCTTGCCTGGAAATCTAAAAGGATGGTCATGCATTTGATCCCTAAAGATATTATCCAAAACGCAATTGCTTAGGGTTGCATCTATTGTCTCATCAGCACTGTCAGTGCATGAAGAGGAAATAAAACAGGCATGTGAGAAAGAGACAAAAGGAGAAGTTTTCTTTATGCTTTGGACTTTTTCCTATTCTCTAATGATTCCCCTCTCCCCATGATCCTAATTCAAGCAACTGCCATGTGGTATATTTTGCAGATAAATCAACAGTGGAAGAGCATGTGCAGTTCTAGCACATAATGTAGGTGATTTAACTTGCAGTTTCTAGTAAGCCAGCCAGCATGGGGGGTGGGGGGGAGGTTTCTATACATTTCCTTCCTCCAAAAGAAAGAAAAGCCTAGTGTATTCAGCGTTAAGCAGGACTGTCATCCTCCCTACCTAAAAGACAAACACATCCTCAAAATGTAATCTGAAGATGGAAGGTGTATGATTTAAGAAGCTCTTTTAAATACTTATGCCCTGATCCTGAAAACACTCAAGCTGAATGGGGCTGCTCCTGTACTGCGCAAGCGTCTGGGGGATTGAGAGCTAAGTTTCTTCGGTCTTTGGCAGAGGTGATAACCTAGAGAGTGCTAAGTCCTGTCACATAATCGCCGCCGACTTTCCATGGGCATATTCCAAACGGACTGCGGATGACAACTGTAGGAGTCAGTGGGAGAAGCTGACAGCTGGAGCTGGGTGAAAAGTTTATTTCAGAAATAAAATCCACTGCATGAATTTCAGCTTCTGGCTGGGAGCAAGCAGGAGGGAGCTTGCCCCTGTAGTCCAATCATTATGGCATTTCTCTTGGGAGGGGGAGCCTGGGACTCTGGCTGCTATTGCCAGCTACAATTATGTACGTACTTTACATCATTCGTTAAAACAGAGAAATAACCCTGGACCCCAGGACTCCAGAGCAGTTCTCACTAGACTACAGAGGCAGACTCCCTCTCACTTGCTGTCATTTTGGCTACAGGGATATTGCATACTTGGCTTTCCAATGGCTTAGTTTCACCAGGAAGGTTGAAGAATACCCATCCCTAGCCTGCTGTATAACCTGGTGGTGAGGACCCTGCCTCAGCAGCAGGAAATGTGGGTTTGTAAGCCCTCAGGGTAAGAAGGACCTAGAGCCCAGCTCTCCCACTTGTGGGTGAGCGCACTAACCTTTTGGGTAACACCAGTATTAGAACCAGGGAAATTCAGCGTTCTTGATCGTAATTGTGTAGAGTGCCTCATGGGTTTAGAGTCCAGTGCCTAAGCCCCAAAGCGAGCCAAGACTTCAAACATGCTTAGCATTTCCCCTGAGCTACTCCAGGCACCTCTGGGTCTTCTGCACTGTTCTTTCATCAATACATAGACAGTTAGGGGCTGGAAGGGACCTCGGAAGATCATCAGATCCAGCCCCCTGCAGGAAGCAGGAAAGACAACTGGTGTCCAGTGACCCCAGCAAAGTGACCGTGCAGTCTCCTCTTGGAGATTTCCAGGGTAGGTGACTGCACCACCTCTGGAGGGAGCTTATTCCACAGTCTGGACACCCTAACTGTGAAGAAGTTTTTCCTAATGTTGAGGTTGCCTATCATTTTTCCTGTATCTTGTAGAGTGCCCGGGCACTTCAAAAGTCTCTGTCCATTGACTATATTGACTTCTAGCCCTAATTTGGTCAAATTGAATTTCCTCCTATAGCTAAGTGGTACAATGCCAAAAGAAATGCCTTAGGCCACATCTTATTCCACTTATTAGGCATATAAGTGATATTTAACCACCTAAGAGCAATCTTATCCCACCACACCTGAATCCTTGTTAAACCATTAGCACAAGAGGTGTTCTTCTCATTGTTTTTTGTGACCAAGTCTGAATGGATGTTCAAGAGTAAACCTGATAATGGTTTGTCAGGGCTTGAGCAGGGTGAAATAAAGTACTATATGAATGCCAAGGGGTTGGGAAAGGATCTGGCTGCTAAGGGATTAGTTTGAATCCTGGCCTGCAAGACTAAGGACTATGAGCTTGATCTAATAAAGGACTCAGAGGTCTGAAAGCAGGCACTGATGCACCTCTTTTAGGAATCTGGGCTGGACAAAAACTGACTTTGTAGGCATCTGACTAGGACTTGCTAAGCAGCTAAACCCCAGTGTTTTCCAACATGCTTTCAAAGTCACTGCGATAGCTGCACCTTATCTATGAAAACCATAACAAAATAGTGATGTTCTTCCTCTCTCTAGCTTGTGATGCCCAAAGTGATGAACAATAAGGCATTCTGATTCCCAGCCCAGTGTGTCCTCCTTCTAATGGGACTGTTTGCAGTATGTGGGTTATATTAGCATTACAGTTAACCCAGATGATCGACCTGTGAGTTTGAGTGCCTCATCTTAGTCCTGGTGCGAGCATTCCTGTTGCAAGGCTTTACCCAAGCTACTGGGTCCTTCCTGTTTCTGCACTCACCGGCCAAGTCCAGATGAGCATGGATATGTGGTATGTGGCAGCCACATTCCCTGTGCTGCTACTTTGCAGCTCAGGGGTGTTTTTTGACCCTGAGAGATCCTGGGGTCAAAACAACCCATGTTAAAAATTTTTTAACAGAGCAGCAGAGCAGCGCACATGATGGCAACACATGCCGCCCAAAACCAGAGCCAGCCAGAGCCTGGCTGGCCAGTAGGGGTGTGTGAAATGGGCCCTATTCGATTCAAATTCGGCCCAAATCAGGGACAGTGATTCAATTCATTGATTCAGATCACTGTCCCTGATTCAATTCAGCTGAATCCGAATCTGAAGATTCAATGCTGATTCACAGAATTAGGGATTTGGACATAGACACAGCTTTAGATGTTTTTTCTACATATCTTGAGGTAGCAGGCAAGGCTCATGAATGCTGTGATGCTGGGGCGCATGGAGCGTCCCACAGGAGCATGGGGGGGGGCGGCCCTCCATGTGCTCGGTGGTGAAACCAGAAGTGCCCAGGAAGTACGTCTGGTCCACTTCTGGGTCTGCCAGGGAGCGCCTTAGGGCTCTCCCCCCCGCCCCCCGAGTGCTGAGCCACAGGGGACCCCAGGTGCCCCCCCCAGACCCAGGAGGCACCAGTTGCCAAGCCGGGGTGGTGATGGGGGGCCCCCATTGCACTCCCCAGCGGATCCAGAAGTGGATCAGAAGTGCTTCTGGTCCACTTCCGGGTCTGCTGCTGAGCACGCTGGGGAGCCCCCCATGCTCCCGCAGGACACTCCATCCACCCCAGCATCGCAGTATTCGCAAGCTGTCTGCTACCCTGAGGTATGTAGAAAAAACATTTAAAGCTGTCTGAATCGTCGAATCTTTCTGTATCTCTCAGAATCGATTTGGAGGGTTTTGATTCGATTCAGAGAGATTTGATTCGGATTCGTAGATTTGGCCACCGAATCGGGCTGAATCTCTGTCAAATTGAATCAGGGACCGAAGCTTTGCACAGCCCTACCAGCCGGAGCCACACCCCGATTGCCGGCCAGGCTTCCTGCTGCAGAAGCACCATGGCTGCAGCTCCCAAAGGCCCCTAGGACCTCAGCTAAAGCTGCTGGGGCCAGCACAGTTGCTGGCCCCAGCCTCCCCTATCCCACCCAGGGTAACCTGCCATGTGCCAGAGCACATGTGGCATGGGCTTTCCCTGGGGACAACTAGCAACAGCACGAGATGTGCCGCTACTACTTGTCCCCAGGGAAACAAACATCCACATTCATCTGGACACAGCCAACTGTGTGTTTTTGATGTATAGCTCATTATTTTTAATTGATTTCTATTTGGGGTGTTTCCTTTGTCCTAGTCAATTGTAGAAAAATTTACCCACCTTTGTACATGGACAGAGGAGGATTATCAACATTTGTGTGATTTTGAACCAGGTCCTTATTGCAAAGTGTGTGGGTACCAAAATAAGTGGGTCTAACTATGTCTGCAGCCGGATAAGCTACCCCAGCCCTGCAGGTGCAAATCTATCTGTGTTTTTTCTATGCCACAGGAGGAGATTGAGGTTAAAACTCAAGTAGAAATCTGGATTAACAGCACTGTATAGGTATAGCTTAAGTAGCTCTTGTCTGCTCATACAGAAACTGGTGCAGAAAAATACTGAAGCACATTCTTAAGATCATTGCAGAAGACGGTTTAAAGAATCTAGAACCAATGAATGAAAAATACAGAAATCAGAACTTTCCAAAAAGAAGAGACTCGGAAAAAAGAAGGGAGATTTTTTTCAAACATATTTGCTTATGAGCTAAAGTAGTACCTCTAGATAGTTACGCCATGGCTCAGTTTAATTCCCCGGACTTCAATATACATGCAGTGTTTGGCACAAGCTGAGGATCTCAGCTGATCCCACTGAAATCATTGACTTCTTTGTGATTGGGACTGCCCCCTAAACGAGTGCGAGAAATTATTTGGAAATATTAGCAGGACTAATGAGTCTTGTTGAACTCTGAAAACATTTTTGCCAATTATATTGGGATTTCTGTCTTGTAAATTAAATATGCTTTATGAGACATTTTATTTACTTAATAAAGGTGCTGCAAGGCTACCTCTGTGATGCAGTTTAAAAATGGATGTATAGACAAAAATCAGATAGTGAAAATGCTCTGCATAATCAGTGTAAATCACATAGATAGCATATTATTTAGCTTGACACGCCTTTAGTCCTAATTATGGATAACTGTATAGCATTTAGAGTCTGGAACATTATCATTAGTTGTCAAAAGAGTCTTAAATGAAGCAAAAATTTACCTAGATTTCTTCTTTCTTGCTAGCTGGATATTGTAGGAACAGATTTTTTGCTTCCATAAAAATCTAATGAAAGTACATCAAAAAATGACATCTAGAAATAACACAGGGATGACTTGTGTCTAGCTGCAGCCTTGCAAGTTAGTACCATATGTCCAACTACAGCATCAGGAGAGTCTGATTCAAAGTCCATTGAAGATGACAACTCCCATGGACTTCAATGGGTGCAGCAAGTGCTATAAGAGAGATGCATTACAGTTGTCATTATCTAATTGATAAAACATTGACAAAATAATATTAACAAAGGGCTGAGGATGTAAGGAGAGAGCAATCAGATGATCTGCCATCATCCTATTGCATCTGCTGCTCCGTCATACCTCATATAACATTACTATAGTGCACGGTTCTTCCAAAGATCCTGACCAATGATTTGGGATAGAAATCCCCGTGCTAAGGGCTGGGTGTAAAAGGCATCCTTTGCAGAGGCAGTGCATTTTACACCACTCACCAGCATCTAATCTGCAGTGCAATTTCCAAACATCCCGTCGCAGCTTGTACTGACATCAATGAAAAACTGGGAATAGACATAGCCTCTACATTGGCTGCTCAAAAGACAGAGAGTGAAATTCTGATTCCATTCTGTGGCAAAGCTTTTAGTAAAGACAGAATAGGCCAAATCCCATTTCACCTAGCACATTTCTATTTACATTACCAAATAAATATATGCGGCTTTAAGTGGTATTTTTGCCACGGGCACAGATTTTCCACTTATCCAGCTACACTTGCTCTTCTTAGGATGCTCAGGAGGATGTAGCACAGCCACAGATGCTCTGTTGAGGAATAGGTAGGCAAGGTATGAATAAAAAATACCCAAAATTATGGTGTGAAGAGCAGTTTTGGGGACTGTATGAGGGAGGGTCCAAAACCTTTTAGCTTTTAGCCCAGTAGTTAGGGATCCAGATTGAAGATCCAACTTGCTCTCCTCAGAAGCTGTGCAATGGTCGGCCAAAAGGAGAAGGTAAGTGTGGTTAGGAGACCAGAAAGTCATAATCTATGTGGTCTAGTAGGATGATATCTGTTCTCAGGTGTCTTACATTCTGGCCCCTGTTCCTACCTTTCATGGCTGCTTTGCATTTACTACTCATTGGATAAAATGGGTAAACAACAAAAATAGCTTCTGTCCATTGGCATCAGAGGTGGGGAAGGAAACCATAGCCCAGTGCAGGGTCTGTTAAAGCAAAGCTACACTTTCCATGGCTTGCTTCACCCATTCCTTCTCCTTTTGATTGGAGGATTTCTATATGGAGAGTCAAGAAAGGAAGCCACAAGCAAATGCGAGCATACCTTAGTCAGATGGCTGCTGTCCCTTTGAAGTTGCCTATCATTTTCCTGTATCTTGTAGAGCGCTCGGGCACTTCAAAAGTCTTTTTCCAATGACTCTATAGAAGTTTAGGTCCTAGGATGCCGGAGGCCATTGCTTCTATTCCCTGCTTTTCCCTGGAATAGATTTTTCCATTTAAAGACCACTGGATAAAATGGGTAAATAGCAGGGTGAGAGAGCTTTCCTCCACTGCTGGCAGGGGCAGAGGCAGAAGCAAGAACCCAGGGGTCCCTCTGCTTTCAAGAACAAGGCTTGTTGAACTCAACTAAATTCCTACTAGCGTGTCCTTTCACTGGCCATGTATAGCTTCTTCCCTAACAAACCAAAGTAAGTATGGTTTAGTAGAATGGGCATGATTCTTGGTGCTGTCCTCTGCTCTGACTCCTGATGTCCTCTTTGCATGTAATAGCCATTATTTCTAACCCTACTTTTCCACAGAGCATATATGGCCATTCTACAGACTTCTGAGCAGCCTCAGAAGGGCAGACATAGCTGCACAACTAGAAATAAGATCCAAAACCTGTGTAAGTGGCAAAAATGCCAAGTATGTGGGCCATGTTAGGACACATAAGTTACACTTAAGGATGAAATAGGATTTGGCCTGATCATAAAAGGACATCAAAAAGCAGAACAGAGGATAAGAAGGAACTGATCATCCATGATCAAATCTAAATGAGATCTGGTCAGTGGGCTAAGAAGACCTCACTGATGGATGACAATTCTCTGTCCTTTTACCAAGCCATATACCTGTACAACACTTTGCCAGAGCTTTTAATTAAAGCTTCATTATCCCCACCACATGCACCCCCATTGTGAAACAATGGTGGCCAGCAATATTACTAAGCTGATTTTACAGCTGGTCAGACTGTAATGCAGAGATGTGAGAGACTTCCCAACACTGACAGAAAGAGGAAAAAGAATTAGGAATTTGGCTTCCAGTTTCCTGTTCCAAGTCCTACACAAATATTTCCCTGGCAGGGCATCAGCGCTTCACAGTAAGTTTGCTTCAAGTCAAGCCTCCTTAATGGACTTAGCACCTTTGGCATTGCTTAGCTCCAGGACATTTCTGGAGCCAGAGCTGAAGCAGCTGGGGATTACCTCTCTTCTACCAGGCTCTTCCTTCCTGGCTCTTTGTTGGCCTATGGCAAACACTGACTCCTCAGCATGCACGAGGTGTTTAGGCATCCTGGAGAGCCACAGACAGATTTTGTGCTAGGGTGGCCCCAGAAAACCCCTTAAAAAAACCAAAGGTAATGTGCAATCAGACATGGACTCTGTGTATAGAGGATCCTTTATATGCACAGACTTTGCAGCTGTGCATTTTTCTTCTTCTTAATGAAGAATTATACTCCAGGATATAAACTTTCAAAGCAAATATATTTCTAGCTATTTTTGGTTGCAAGGAATACTCTGAAAATGCAAACCAGGTATCTACTGAGGCAGTTTGGGGTGCATCACAAATGTGGTTTGTGGTGCCTCGAAGCAGTTTGAGGTGCTGCAAATTGCATTTGGTACACATGCACCCACATGCAGGGGGGGGGGGGGGGGCCTGCCACTGAAAAATGCAGTGCAGAGCACAGAGCAGCAGTGTGCACTGCAGGAAACCGCAGTCTGGCCAGCCAGAGCTACACTGGGTAAAGCAGCTTAGTCAGTGCCACTGCTGTCCCAGGAAGTCCCCAGGACCTCATGAAAGGCTGCTGGGGCCAGCACAGATGCTGGCCCCAACCTCGGTCACTTTGCCACGTGCCAGAGCACGTGTGCAGGAGCATGCCTGGGAACAAATAGCAGCGGCACAAATATGTGCCGCTGCTATTTGTCCCACAGGAAATGCATGTCCTTGTATTTGCACACTCATTGGGATGTACCCTTTAAGTCTGAAAAAATAGCCCTGCAAAGTCTGGAAAAAAAACCAAGCTAATATACTTACCCACAATTTCAAGCTGACTTCTATGCATCCTTGAGTGCCAAAACCTGTTGTGCCAGCTGCCAAAACCTCTAGCTTTCCTTCCAACAGCTTGTCCAGTGCAGTTCTGCATTCTCAATGCAAACTGCTGCCTCACTCTGAAAAGTGAAAAATATGGGGATAGTGCAAAATAGTCAGAATATCAAACTCCATAACAGAAAGTCTGTCAATTTGTAGTTCTCGTTTTCATGTTGAATTTATTGTAAATGTCACTGTATTTTTACTTTAAATGAACTACAACTGAATGGAGTCCAGGTAGAATAGAAGGAATAAGCCACCAAATTTAAGTCTTGCTTGCTGAAAAGTTCATGGACCTTGAATAGACTATTTTTTTCATTATCATGGTTTTCTCTCTCTCTCTCACTGCTTCCTTTTCACCCGCTCTCTGTATTGGCTTTCTCTGTGCTTACTCTTTGCTTCATTTCTCACCTAATATTAACTCTGGGGTTTTTTTTCCTGCTGCTTTTCTCAGTCTCTTCCTCCCAAGACTTAAGCCAAATAGCACTCAACTCTGAACTGAACTTTTGAACCCACAATTTGAAATTAGGTTAAATTGGCTCCCATCCCTATCTTGAAATAATATCAAAGCACTTTGAATTTTTGAAAGCTGAAAACTAGAATAACTTCTCTATGGAAGTAGCACAGTTTTTAGACTATAGAGGTAAGTTATAGGTCAGGATGTTATTTTTAGGAAAAACTAGGCATAGCATGGTAGAAGTCTCGATGTTTTCAGGCAGTGTGGGTACCAAAATACCTGTTCAGCATGTGGATCTTAGAACATCTTTTTCAGCAAGTTTAGGTACCTTGTACTGAACAGGTCTGGCTCACTGCTAAACCATGGCAAATCGAATACATCCTTAGACCAGGGTTGTTCAGCTGGTGGCCTGTGTGCCGTATGTGGCCTGCAAGGTGTTAAAATGCAGTCTGCAAACTCCAGACCAACTACCACTCTACCCATGGCCCTTGAGGCCATTCTCTTTCCTCTGGCTTCTGATTCCTGGGGGGCAGGGTGGTACAGCGGGGAAGGGGCTGCACCCATGGCAGGAAGGGGGCCAGCCTGTGGGTGCTGTGCACTCGGAAAAGGAGGGAGCCAGGCTGTGCATGCTGCTTGCTGCAGGTAGACTGCTCGCATGATGTGCACAGCCGGCAAGGGGGTGAGGGTGGGGGTGCTGTAGACATGGCTGGCGGGAGCCGGGCTGCCCAAGCAGCACACGTTGCCAGGAGGCTGCGCTGGTTGGGCTATGCACATGGCGGGGGAGGGCTCAGAGGGGCAGCCCCCAGGTCTACATTGCTGCATGTGGCCCCTAGCTGCCCAAAAATTGGACAGCCATCTATGCAGGGTAGCGAGGCAAAGGACCACAGTTTCAGTCTAAACATCGGCAACCACAATAACCTGACTCCAATTAGAACAGCATCCACTTAACCCAGAAAAAGAAATTAATTTAACAAACTATTTTTTTTTATTTCATTTTATTTTTCCTATCCCTATCTTTTTTTTTATGAGCCTACAGATGCTCCTGGATGTTATGGAAACCAAAGTGGCTACAGTACGAGACATTACGAATAAGGAAAAAAATATAGGCTTGGCAAGCCCGCATTTTAAAATTATTTTAATTGTTCTTATTCTGCTTGCAGGACAAATGCCTTAGTTCCCGCTCTCCAGCCTGGGCTTCCCGCACGGAGCCCGTCACCACATGCCACTCTGCTCCTGACATTGAACTCCTGACAACCCGAACTGAGAAGACTGCCAAAAAAACTCCAGCAATTCTTCTTCATCCTCACTAACAATTTGGTAATGAAGTATTGATTTCCACTCCCCTGCTTATGGACGATATTAGATTTTCATTGATAAACTGCACTGGGTCTGTCTCGTCTCCACTGTCCCTTTTTGCTGTCACTAAAACAAAGCGCCACTGAAGTAAGATAATGACTGAGAACATTGATGTACTTATTTTGTCAATTTGTAACGCTTGACAGGAAAAAAAAAATTCTTCATAGTTTAATGTCCAAGTGGGCTACACAAGATGCAGTCACACTGGAAGCTTTACTTTTCATGGTAATGTCCATTTCCTATTTATAACCCCTTTGGGATAGTTTGTCTAAAGGAAATGTTTCTATTCAGTGCAGCTATTACTGTTGCACCTGGGTTGCCCAATCCAGTCATTGCACTAGGGATCAATATATCACAGTAAGTACAAGAATTATTAAGTTAAAACAGATTCTGAGCCAAAAAACCTCTGAACAATGTTAATCTTCTGTGCAAGTTGTTCAAATAGTTATGCTTAACCATGTTTCTGCCAAAGATTTGTTTAAAATGGATTATTTTCAGTTTGTTTTATTCCTCATTATATATATATTTTTTTAAATCTCCATTATGGTTTACGACAACACATATGCAATGGAGTGATTTTTAAACAAAAGTACTATTGTTAGATTATTGAACATTATATAGATATATAGAAATATATAAGATAAAAATAAAAGACTAAGACCTAAATTCCTTTCTCGGTTACACAAATGTAAATCTAAATAGCTCCCTTAAAGTCAAGGGGCTGCTTTAGATTTATGCCCTTGTAAATGAGATCCGAATCTGGCCTTTACACTATCTATTGGGCTGGTTTGTTGCTATTGGTATTTACAGGTACTAAAGCATAGCTTATTGTTAAAATCAACTGAAACTCAGTGAGAAGAAGGGGGGAAAAAATAAGAGGAGGATGTCAATTTAAAATTCGGTCCTGTAACTTTTTTCATTAAAACTTTGAGGTCCCAATTTTAATTTGTGGAATATTCACGTTAATAATGAGATCTAATTAAGACATCCATTAAAAGCCCGTTAAAGTTAATTTAACGTAAAAATTCCAATAGAACTGTATTAGATTTTCTCCATTAAATTAACGTTATGGATTTTTAACGGATGTCTTAATTATACATTATTATTAACGGGAATACTGTATTACACAGATTAAAATCGGGTTCCAAGCCAACTCAGAAAATCTTCCAGGATGTTTTTATATTACAAACCTCATTTTACCTAGTGCACTGCTTGGAAAATCAGGCACAGCTCTGTTTACTCTAGCTGAGCATTTTCCCTA